GGTTCCTTTTGGATTTTACATACCTTATGGAAAAGAACAAAGTAAGTTTACTCCCATCTTAAAGCGGTGAGTACATGCAAAAACATGCCGAAAAATGTATGAGTGAATGAAGGACCTAAGAGTGGTTTTACTCGATTCTGTTACGGAAATTTTGATGTGAAAGATGAACATCGCTCTGGTCGGCGAGTCCATGACAAAGTCGATGAAACTGATGGGGCAAGACTGGCATGCAAGCTGTCAGGAAATAGCGGAGGAGGAATAGCGAACATTAACCACATGACAAAAAAAACAAGCTCAAAAGCAGTCTAAAACCCCGCGGAGACCTTTTAAATATACTCATTATTATCCCAGACTTCTGAAATCAAAAATTTTCGAAAAATTGAAAAAAACATAAACTGAAAATTCTCACGTTGATCAAGAGGGTGTTGTTGCATTTAAAAGTACTTCCGTTATTTTGTTTTCATTACAAAGTAAATGCACTTTACAGCCAGTGGCTTTAAAAATAAAACAAATCATATAACATGTGTGTGTGTGTGTTAATATTTTGTTATAAGTTAAACGGGGGTTGTCGCAATAATTTTATTATAGTACGTTACAAGAGGATGATGTTTTTTGCCGTTCACTTAACAGGTTTCAATATTTCTTTCGTGTGTAAAATTCGCGCAACGGTTATTAGGTTGAAAGATTTCTTGAAGATAAAAAACGACATCGATCGCTTAATATATTTCCTAGTTGATCAAGGATCGTTAATTTGTTCATTACTTATCTCAAGTAGACGGAAGTGCAAATCTTTTGTAGCTCTACTCAGATTCCTTTTAGATTCCTCTTCCTGTTTCCGATAACTTGTCTTAGTTCAAAGGTTAACATAATTATTGCAATATCCAAGCGCATCAAAGTATCTGTAAGAAAACCTCTTTGATCGCATCATCGACTTAAAAACTTAGTTTCAGATATAAATCATTATGGATCTAATCTTTAAAAGCCTCAACATATAATTTTACTCTTGATGACGTTATATTTAACCGAGAGATTATAAATAGTGCTATTGAAGTTGATATTTTATGAAAAATGATCAAAACATTCTCATAAATTTGAAGCGAATAACCGGAATTACGGGAATACACGGCATAGTTCAGCAATTTCCATGGACTCTCTTGCCAGGCGTATATCAGTTGCTCTAGTCAAAGGAGAGGTGAGCAAACTAAACGTTAAACGATCCCCTGGCCTTGATTGCATAAGTGGAATAACTATCATATTGTTATCATTTAAGGCTTTCATCTTTTTAACATTAGCAATTTGTTAAGATTGAATCATTTTGCTACTGCGCAGAAGTAGTTGTAGTGGCTAAAGCTAATAAGTCAGAAAATATTGTGAGCTGGTATAGACCAATTAGTTTACTAGTGACTTTTTCCAGAATACTTGAGAATATATTAGTTTGGGGAAAAATAAATCCATTATTTTTAGATGAACTTCTATATATCCACAAAGGTCACCCAAAATTTTAGAAAGTTAGAAATTTTTTATACTTGATCGGTAGTTCGGATTCAGGAGTAAGCATAGTCCTACTGAGCCAAGTCATCGTGTTGTTTCGTAGAAACAGAGAACAGATGTGAAAAAGGCCTTCAATCAAGTCTGATATGAAGTTTAAAAAACTTCAACCAACTCATTATATACGCTGCTCAAATCTTATTTACAGAACAGACCTATCTATTTATACCCTCCACCATTTATGATACAGGGTATGGGGTCGTATGTAACATGCAGAAGAGCTTAATAAGAATCCATCTTTTATTATACCGATCAATTCAGAATCATTATCAGAAGAGCAGAATCATTATCTGAATCTGATCTAAGCCTATATAATGTTTGTGTTGTAAAAGAGAATTATTTTGACAATATGGTGTAGAGTATTTAATTGTCGGCCTTGCCCGACAATATGTTCTTACTTGTTTAAAATTGATCAAAATGATAGATCCAATATAAATTCAATATATATTGAAGATGCAGTGCCCGATAGCAGTATTCTGAGTGCAATACTTCCGATTTCGGACAATATTTTAACTGTAACATACGCTGATAACACAGCAATCCTAGTTTCATCTATTGATCACATAAATATTTCCTATGAACAATACTTTGACTGAACGGATCATATATTAAAATAAACCCAGAAAAATGTCCACATATTCTGTTCACGCTAAATAAGGATTGTTGCCCTTCACTATATTTGAATGGCAGAAAATATCGCTATCAATAGTGGTGTAACATCTATTGGCCAAATACATTAACCGAATATTTTATAAGCGAAAAATTATATTAAATCTAAACGTTAGTAACTTTATTTAAGACCTTGTTGACCCTATTGGCTAATTCGTCAAAATTACAATTTAATCTCAAAAAAAAAAAAAAACATTAAATTCAAAAGTATCCAATAAACTATTTGGAATTATGATATGCAACTGTAAGCAACAGCCTTTCAATTTTATAATATTTTTCAATATTCGTATAAAATATGAATCTAAGACCCTATGTCTTATGTCTGCTTCGTTAGCCACAAAATTGTTGTTCATGATGACCTAGATTTTTCATATGTTAAAAATCGAATTGAATGTCTTTCTTCGAAAATACCTTGTAGAGACTGATTTATCACAAATCCCTTGGCAATAACATTTCTAAGTGAATCCAATGATATAAGAAGATTGAAAAGGCATCAAGATTTCATTTACTTTTCTTTCTCAAATTGTTTTAACGAATTTACTGCGTTTATCTAGTTTCTTTTTTATTTATTTATGTAAACATCATGTCGTTGGGGTACAACAACCTCTGTTATTTTTCTCATCTTGCTATACATAATATTTGCTTGTTATCTTTTTGAATAGATTGTAAATTATATATTGTATATATATAGTATATATCTATATATCTATATATAGTGTATAATAAAAAGTTGGCAGGTATCACATATCAGATTCGCGTCTTCACACTTAGTTAATTAATCATTTTCTTCACTAGTTCGTCATTTCATTTTTTCGATTTCATATAGTTTCGGACGCCATTTAGTCACAATACGAACTCTTCTTAGTGTTTTGAACTGTTAAGTAGTTAATCAAATGCTCTAGTTACCAGAGATCCTCAAAAATTTCCTTGAAACTTAGTTGCAACAACTATTGGTTAGTATAAAAACAGTTACAATTGTGGAAGCGGGAAAAAGCGATGCATTCTCTTAGAAATAGATCAGGCAAACGCTATAATTTCATCGCAAAATGTTCATGCGTGGTATAGTTATGCAAGCGATGCATTTATCTTAAAGGGTTTTGCGATTTTTGGTACACTGCCAAGAGCTGTACTTTTTTTCTTTTTCTTGTACAACTGCTAACGTGTCACCAGGCTTGTTAAAAAGTTCACATAGCCTTCATTATTGATCTCGGCGTCATCTTCGATTACTTCACTGCCAGATTATGCACATTCTTACTGACTCATCAAAATTGACAGAGCATATCTGGTAAGCCTTACTCTTGACTTATGCGACTACCATTTGTTCCGATCTCTACGGAATGTCATCGTCAATCGTGACTGCGCCAGATCATACATCGTTACAATTCGGCAAAAATTGAGATAACTAGAAAATTTGGGTACATGCACCTTATAGCCCGGATCCGTCTGATTAGGAATTGTTGCGCTCTTCGCAGAACTCTCTTAATGAGGTACAGTTGACCTTAAACGAGTATTGTGAAAGTCATTTAGTTTAATTTCTCGGTCAGAAATCTTAGGAATTCTACATTGACAATATATTTGGTTCCACCAGAAGAATGACCAAACAGGTTATCAGTTAAAATACTTCAGAACTTCCCTTTCATCTATCATTAATGGTCAAATTGTAATTTGTCTTGTTTGCCTTTTACTCAAACATCCAGATTAGCCTACGTAAATCTAATCTGTAATTTTCTTGATATATATGAAAATACAACAATCTTGGTGCAGGTAAAGCGTTGTATCCATTCTAAATTTGAACATTTTATGCACGTACTATGAACGTTTTGCGGGGCATAGTTTCGTTTAGCTAAAAACATAAACTGAAAAATATTTTGCATACTTGTGATAAATTGCCAGAGAAAGTCCTTGCATAGGGTTGGTTTAATATAATTGAATCGTGACCGTAATTCGCTGACAGCCAACTTAAGTCAATTCGTCAAGACGTTCGAGTAAAAATTGATGCCAAAAAAACTGGGGTTGTAAAGTATTTTATCACAACATGTAATCACTCTTAGGTACCGTTGTGACTAACGGGCACTCACTAGTGTATGAGTATTTACTTATGAAAAAGCTTTGCAGAGTTGTAATACGCTTGATGCCTTGACGATGGTCCGAATTTGTTATATTTTAAAAACCTTTTGTATCATCAGGAAACGTAACGAATAGTAAATTCAGATGACTAAACAGTTCACCCGAGAGCAAGCGGAACCAGTAGTAGTTTGCCATTAATTTTATTCAGTCTGGTCGCCTTTTTTTATTTTCTTTTTTCTTTTTTTTTTTGGTGAATTTAGTCAAGGCACCTGCCTTACTAGCTCAACAGGATTGTAGGTTGAGTACTGAAAAGGAGGAAATTAGGCTTCAATTGGCTTCGTAGTTAAGCGTTTAAATCGTCAAAGTGTTTAAAGCATTTGAAAGAGTTTAAGTCCAGTCTTCTGGTTATATTTGGCGATAAAAATGCAATTAAAAAAATTGACTCGAAATCCTTTCATTATTTTCCGATAGATTCCTTAATTATACCCTTATCGTAGAATTTCCCGCTGATTAGGCGAACGACGAAATACTGATTGGATTTGAGGAGTGAAGAGAATTTATTAGGCTTTCATTGATGCACCAACTCAACTCAAGTGTAATGAGCATACGAAAGAATAATTTAGATATTCAAGTGGAAGAAGAAGAAGAAGAAAAAAAAAAGTGAAAATAAAATTTCATTAAATTGAATGCGAATTTTATTGAATTTTTTTTTGCAGATTGAACGCGGTGATACTTTACCCCAACATGTCTGTATAACCTGCGCTAAGAATACGATATCCGCTTGTCTTTTTAAAAAAAAATGTGAAGATGCGGATAATTTTTTCCGTCAGCAATTGTTGATACAAAAAATTGAAAGTAAATCGGAGACGAAAAGCTGTAATGCCATTGCATTATCTGAGGCTGATGACGAAGAAGAAGAGATACAACGTAGCTCGGGAAATGTTCAGAATCGTCAACAAAAAATCAAAAACGATGAACATAAAGAGAACTGTAACGTTCACGAGAGTCTAGAGAAGGGTACAAATAAATATCGATTGAAGCAAGTGAATGGACGGCATGATAATGCTGAAGCTGGGGAAGAGGAAGACGAGGATAGCGATGAAGATGAGATGTCAGCTAATAGAATGGTAACGCATCATGACGAAGAAGATGATGAGGCTGAAGTCGATGAAAATGGAGAGATAAAAAGTGCCAATGGTCAAAAGCTATCGTTTGATTTTAACTCAATTAGGTTAATGCATGAGTATATGCAGCAGCAATTAAGTAAAATTAACGGTATTCATGGCGGCCGTGTGGCTGGTGGTAACGATGGCGTCGGCTTAGGCAGTGCCAGTGATACAGACCAGGATGATGAAGAGCCCTTGCCGCTTATACCGGAAATTGAATTAATTACACCGTCTGAGGATGCAGGCGCTGGCGTCTGCTCGTCGAATGGTGCTACGACGAACGCGAGCAACTCTCAAGTTGTTGCTCAAATGAAAGGTTATCAGTGTCCACATTGCTATCAAATTTTCGAAATGAAACAAGTTTTGAAGGCACACATGCAGAGTGTGCACGGGTTAGCCGGTCCAGTTTATGAATGTTCGAATTGCAAAAAGACTTACTTCTATAAGCGTTTTCTTGAGAAACATATCAGGCGAGGACGTTGCGTAAAAAAAAGACGTAATCAAACGTAAGTGCCGGATAACTTAATTTGAGTTGATGTTAATTTGAAAAAGATTGTTTTTGGAATGGATCGGCCTTTTGCAGGAGACCTATGCAATGCTCTGACTGTCATGTATTGTTCCCCACGGGCCATCATTTGGGTTGGCATAAACGTACTGGATGTCCCTCAAAAACGGCTAAAATGTAAGTTAATTCTCTTCTTTCAAATGAATGCATTTGAAGTTAAATTTCTTCTCTCTTATAGGCCGTTACAGCAGTTTTTTAAGCAGAACATTGTGCAATATAATAATTTCCCAAAAAGAATTGGTATACGTAAGCCGGAAAACGCTATTTATTTACATAATCGCAAGTAAATATTAATTTCTGTAGACATATGTGTATGTTTGTGTGTGTTTTTGGTAATTAATTAAAAAATTTTAGATTAATTATGGCGAACAATAAACGAAAGGGTCGTACTCGTATTAAATTGGATGCGAAAAAAATCGCTTTGGCAAAACAATTGATATTGCGAGAGGCCACAACTACTGTTATCGCCAATGAATTGAACATATCGCGCACGTTCGCTTGGCGTTTACGAAAGAGTCTCGTGAATGGCGTTAGTTTACATGAAAGAGTAATTGATCCGGTCGATGATGATATTGAAGATGCCGTTGCTGATGCACCAGAATCCCCTAAACTTACACCGGCGACGTTACCTGCCACAGCAGAAAATCAACCGCAATTTAATCATCAGCCCTTAACCGAACATATAAAAACTGAGACTTTAGCTAGCGAAGAGGAAGATTCGTTAGACGAAATCAAAGAATTTCAAGATGAGTTTCACGAAGAACCACCAACATCGATACCACAAGGTATTGCAACCTCTGTTATACAGAGAAATGAACAAGCAGTACAAATGCATGAATTATTACAATCGTCTACTAAAGCTATAGAAAAAATGCAACAACAACAACAACAGCAGCAATTAAGGCTAAGAGACGTTGCTGAAATGAGTAGATTGTCACATCACGATAACGAAAGTGATAGTGATAGCGAGGAAAATCATCCCAACGAAGAGACTGATGATGATAAGCCGCTTCTTGATAAATTAAATGATCAGCCAGATCAGCAGCAGCAACATCAACCATATTTAAGTATAACTAATGTAGCCAGTCAAAGTGTAACCAGAGGTAACGACATGCAAAACAATGTCCTGATGAATGGAACAGTACCGATATTAACTCAGTTCCCTCCTGCCGTCGCTGCTGCAATGTACGTAACATCTTTCAATTCAAGAGAAACAAAGTAAAAAAAATTTCATTTATTATAGACAATACATATATATTTAAAACTATAGATAAATTCGCGAACCGATTGTTTTATATAATCTACAAATACTCTTGAAAGGTCCTTACGTCCTATATATATACAACATATGTTCACATATGTATAGTATGTGATAAACTCTAAAAACATCTTGCATCCTAACATCCAACAACACCTTAATATAATTTGTACATTTTTGCGTATAGAGTAACCAACCTCGCGAAGCTATCATACTCATACACATTTTTTTGCATCGTTAGAACCGTTTACCCAAACAAGCTTTTCAACAAAAATATTGAATCTCATAAGAAAGAACTGATTTATTAATACAACTGACTTTTCAAGCATATGCTGTGCAAAAAAAAAAAAAAAGATTAATAAAAACATCATCATAGTAAGATACTTGCGCCTAGGTACGTTTAGGTTCGCAAGCCTTACGTCTTCTCATTGTTGAAGTTCTTTAAATTAATACCATTTGGTATGTGTCACCTTTGAATTATGCTGAATTTATTTATTTTTTTTTCTTTCTTTGTTTTAAAAATATGTAAACATATAATTTTTGTTACGTAAACATTTCAAGTAATATATAAAAATTGCTAAGGAACGACTTTAAGCATATTAAACATTTTTTTTCTTTCATTTAGAAATCAATTACCCGTTAATTTATCGATACGTCCGATTGCTACGTTGCAAAATAATGAAACGTAAGTGAATCGTAATTTTAAACTGCAAATTGAACATAAACTAATGATTCAGTTACTTCGCATAGATCAACGAATTCTCTTCCTACGACTAAAAAGAAACCGCGTAAACCTAACGTTTTCATCGATGATGAGAAATACGCTATGGCGAAAGTGTTGGTGGCGCAGAACGCTTCAACTATGGAAATAGCGAAGGCGTTGAATGTGTCGCAGATGACCGCCTGGAAACTGAGAGATGCCATAATTAAAGGCGTGCCGCTATCCTATCGCAATAAACGTGATATACGGCATCAAACGCGTCAAGACGATGAGACATGCAGCGTTCAAAGTGACGGCAACGAGAATAAACGTGATTTAGGTGAACCAGATAGCGAGCGACAGCAGCGCCTATTGGTGCAACAGCAGTTAGAACATCAACAAAAATTGCAACAACAGCATTTACAGCAACAGCAACAAATTCAGCAATTATTGCAAAGGCAGCAACAATTGCAACAACAACAGCAACAATTGCAACAACAAAAACAACGTCAACACGAGCAACAATTGCAACAACAACAACAGCAGCAGCAGCAGCAGCCGCAGCCGCAACAACAACAGCAACAACAACAACAACAACAATCGCAGCAACAACAGCAACAAGAGCAAACACAAACGAGCACGCAAAAACCGCCTTCGAATCCTCGTCGACGTTTAAAAGCAGCAGAAAGAGAAATGCGCGATAAAGAGATTACTCGAGAAATACTTGAATTAATCAAAGAAGACAATAACATACAATATTGGAAAGTCTCAGCACGTTTGGCTGAGAAGGGTTACGCCATCTCACCGTCTTCGGTTTGTCAAAAACTGAAATCAATGGGCATACATAGGCGCTGGAAGCCTGGAGATAAACCGCCCATGATCGATATGGAACAATTGAAGGCCACCAATAGCATAGTAGCAGTCGCGGCAGCGGCGGCAGCAGCCAATGCGATACAAAATGCTAATAATTCATCAACCGATGAAAATTATGAACAACATCAATTTGATATGGGTGGCACTCATTTTTTAAGTGCCTTTACGCGTTAGTTGCGGCTATGAAAAGGAATAGGAACTATATAGGGAGGGAAGAGAGAATGAAGCAGAGCAAGTAGTTAAGTAAAAAATGAATAAATAAATAAAACTAAAAAATTAAATACAAATGAATATATTGTTGTAAGTAAGTATAGTTTTGATAGAATTTAATTTATGCTAAAATAAGCCCAACGCACACACACACACACACACATATATATATACAAAGACTCAAAAAACACACACACACACAAACACAAACAAACAAACATGCAGACATAGACACACACCCATCGTAGTAATGACAACCTCTGTAAAAGGCCTAATAGCATTATTTGAGTAGCATGTACGCAATTCTATACAAATTTACACAAAGACTTTATATATAAATAATATAGTATATGTAGTAATTGTAGACTCATCCTTTTTCGCATAAATATTTTTATTTTATTTTTCTTTCCACTTTCTCAGCGTTATAATGTTTTACACGGTACTTTCTGAGTAAAAGTAAAAAGAAATTTTTGTTCTTTTCTTTACGATAAATTTGCAAAAAAGAAAGAAAATTCTTATTTTATATTAAATTTTAAGTACTTTTAAGATTTGTTTGTTATAAAAAATCAAGTATTAATACGAAATTTAAACAACGACTTATATAAATATATTTATTTTTCTGTTCTTGTTTTAAACATTCCATCTTATATCCATTAGGGCAGCTTTAGAGAACTTATAGGCAGCATTTTCTATAAAATATAAATTGTAATGAGTAAATTTAAATAATTTAAATAGTTATTGATGTTATTAAATTTTTTGTAAAAGACATTTTTTTTTTTTTTTTAACCTCAACTTGAATTAATTGTGAATTAATTATCAAAAAGAAAAAAAAAAAAAAAAAAAATGGAAAAAAGAAAAAGATATATTCATATATATTTTACGAAATTTTATAAAGAAAGAAAATTGCACAATAACAGGACTGTGTATTCATCCGTGTGTGTATGTTTATATTTGTTTGTTTGTATGTATGTATATATGTAATCTTTCTAATCGCTTTAACGTTTTCCTCTTTAAACCTTAAGATTGTCATCACAAGGAAGTCGACTATCCCCTCGCCACTCCCCCTCCCCCTCCCTTCTTAAACAAAATTGAAATGTTTCGAAATATTCCCCGATAAAATTAAATTTAATTTTTAATTCGATTTTCTTGGAAGTTTACACAGCTTATCGTATATCGTATATCATATAGCTTTTGTGCAGATGCCCTCAAATGATTTAATTATCTCAATTAATTTGCAATTGTTTGTCGAAATAATCAAGATTTTTGAATTATTGTTCTTCTTCTGCTTATTCTTCTTCTTCTTCTTCTTCTTCTTCCTCTTCTTCTACTTGTATTGACGAGAATAGTTTGAATGAATGAATATCTTAAGGCTTGAGCTTTATAAAAAATTCAGTGCCGTCAAGTTCAAGGAAAACACAGGCAATGAAACGGTTAACTTATTTATATATAGAACTTAATCGTCATATGCTTTACTTGACGAAAGAATATCTTTATCTTATTTATTATAATCACATAAACGTAATATCTTTTACCCTGTAATTTAACTTTTGGTAAAGTGTTTTTTTAACCAATAGTTAGTGAAGTTTTTTAATAGCCATCACTTAATAATGAACAACATACATTCTTGATCAGCATCAAATTCTGAAACGATTTTTAGCATGTCCGTCTGTCTAACACTTCGTGTAAGCATTCTCTCGGCTGCAAAAATGAATCTATCGTCTTCAAATTAAGAAAACACATTGAAAGCTCCTCTACACTGGTTGATATTCAAAATGGGCCAAATGAGTCAAAGAACACGGTACGCACATGGTACACTGAGCGCACCGCTATGTTTCAAAAGGAATAAAAAATAGTTTTAATCCTCGTTACATATAAACTAAAGCTACAAAAAAAAAATTTGAAAGCATGGGCGATGCCGTAGCATCTCTATCTAAATGGAAAAATTTACCGCGCCTATCCAATATTATATTGTGTCATTATATCACTTTTTTTTTTTTTTTCAAGACCTTTATGACGCGCAGAAGGAATTTTCAAAAACCGCATGAAATATATTAAAATCCTTATCCAGTTTCAAATTTGGAATGTCCGTCTGTTTACCGGTCCATATGTCCGTATGCCCAGCATGGATGTAGTATTTGTGGTAAACATTTTCTTCTTCTTTTAAAAAAAGGAATTATCGCTGACAAATTTACAAAGGAATTTGAGAGTGACTCAAACTTTTCAAAGGTCACGCCTACGCGACGAAAAAGTTTATTTAGATAATAGAAAAAATTTGGCAGCGCCCGCTCCATATTATATAGCATGAAAATGTATTTCTTTTACTTTTCTTGTCTTTCTTAGGTCAATGGGGATAGGTATGAAAGAGTCGGTCACGGTCGAATACAATTTTCTTACCTGTTCGGAAAATAGAATAGGATGGGAGCGTCCACATGATGTTACAGAGTATGAAAATTTAGTTCTTTTGCTTCTTTTTTTTTGTAATATCACTGTAATGTGTGTAAAAGATTCGGTCGTGACCGAATCTAATTATCTTACTTGCTTTTGTTTTGCAATAGTCTATACCCTTGTACCACTACCTGTGATACAAGGGCATATTGGGTTTGTGAGGATGTATGCAATACCCAGAAGGGCTTGAGATAGATTCACCTCTTACTATATCGATCTAAGCGTACCTGTTTGTCCGTCTATCCGTCCGTCTCGTTTTCTTTTGTTCAATCTACAGGTCGTAAATATTCGAAATATTTTGATCAAATTTGGTGCATTGACATATATGGTTTAAGGACGAACACTGTTAAAAATGCTTCGAATCGGATCATTTTTTCGACCACTTTCGATTTTAAAAAGTCATTGGATGAGTAACTGCTTTAAGCGAAGTGGTATAGGGTATTTAATGACGATTCGGCAGAATAGCCAAGTAGATAAAGAGTCTCGACTAACAATTCAATGGTCGGTGTGTTCGAACCTCAAATGCGGTAGAGTTTTTAATAAAGCCCATAGTCCTAGGATGCTAATGCTTTAAGACTTTAAGTCTTAAAATTTATTCTCTGGCTAAATTAATAATAATCATATTTAATAACGGGTCGTGGCTCATTATAGTGTTTTTTCTTGTTTTCTTGTAACGAATATATATGAGATTCTCCTAAAAAATTTATCATTATGAATGTATGTTTGCCATAATAATGTATTTTAGAAAATATTTTCGTCGTTTTGTCAATTCGTTTCATTACATTCTAATTTCATATTACACGCACTCTGTGTTTGCCGAGTACACATAGTATATATCGCTAAGGAGGTCGACACATTTAACTGGATAAATGGTTCATCTTAAGAAATAACATATTTCATCCACACTTGATCAATCTTTGCGATTACTAGTCCTTCAATATAAAATTTTCATAAAATCTGCATTTTGTTTATATATGTATATATATATATATATATATTTTTTTTTATTTTTCCCCCGATCAAAGATCAAAGATCAAAGATGGGCTTAGTTTTTTAAAGCATCAAAAAAATCAATGCAGGCAGATTTGTTAATTCCTTTCTACTATAAAGATTCTAAAAATAAATTCTTAAATATCGCTCTTAAGAGTTTTTAAGCCGATAAATAGTCTCAGATGCTATTACTTTAAGCTTTTAATCTTTAAATTTATTTCTCTGCCTAAATTAATTGTAACATTAATAATATTAATCTAAAAATTGTACGAAAACAACGAAACACTTTTGTGTAAAGAACTTGTTTAGGGTTTGTTTTAAATTTATTCGGCACTTAATTATATAATTTTAAAACAACTAAGAATGTTGGCTGACTATAGATAGATATCCTACACCGCTTTGCCTAGTACAAAAATTGCACATGATTTTCATGCGAGGGCGTAATTTTCATGAAAGCCTGCTTATTGGAGAATGCTATCTACTTTATAACCTTAGTTTCTTAAAAATTTTTCCTATCTTTCAGTTTCCGTCATAAAAAACTAAAAAGTCAGCCTTCCTACCATATAAAGGTTAGGTTTTCATAATAATCCCCGCATATGTTGGGATTTATCTTGCGATACATCTATGCGATCGATATTCTGTATTTTTAATTCAATCGGTACTACGGAGTAATCTTCATCATAAAATATCAAAAATTAAAGCTTTTTCTGAATTGCTTACTATTCATGAGAAATCTTATATGCAATGGATTCCAAGAAATAGGCCCATGTGCTTCTTCACATTTAGTCCACTTAATTTTTATGTCATATATAAGTTTTCATCATAAAATATTGATAATTAGGCCTTTTTGCGAAACAAGAGATTCCATTTCCTGAGAATCCCTTTATGCGGTGGTATCCAAAATATTCCCTATCATGGACCAATTTGCACAATGAAATATTGAAAAATATACCGTCAGTTTTTGTACGAGCGGCTGTAAGAGAGAGACTAGAAAAAATCGCCCCAGCCGATCCAAAGTATCCACAATAATTTGAAATGCGGTAATACTATTACTTAGCGACGTTTGTCTAAAAATTTTTTTAAAAATTTCAATGTTTTTCCATATAACGAGCTTTCAAGATAGGGAGTGGTCGAAAAATTGCGCCGATCCGAATCATTCTCAACAGCACATAAATCATGGACAGGCATAAGATAAACGGGCGGACAGATAAGCTTAGATCGGTATAATAAAAGTTAGGATTATCGTAAGATTTTCTGTACCGCAACTGGTGTAGGATATTATGATTTTTCTTTGATATTAAATTGATCACTTCAAAGATTATAGGTAAAGTTGCGTCCCAATAATCATTTTCATCCAAAGTATGTGCATAAATAAATTATAACAAGAATAATGTAGTGAACCCTTGATCACTGTAGGGATGGGTATGTTTTCCATTTGAAAATTACTAAATAATAATAATAAAAATATTGAAGGCTTGTCCAAGAAAGCATAAATGCTTGCTGTAAGCGTTTTCTTGAAACCCCCATCTTGCAAAGGACATGAAACGAATGACATGAACGAAAGCCCGAGTAATTCCAGAAACCATTTAAAATAAACTGTTTATATTTTCTACATTTTATAGAGTAATAAATTTAATTTATTTAATTTTCTCTCATTTTCTAATATTTATTTATTCATTTATTTTTGTTAAACTCTCTAAGTACAATTTCTTGAACTTCTTATAGCCTGAGTGAGTAAATGG